AGTGTCAATCAGCAGACATAGGCTGTGTATAAAAGACAATTTGACATTTAAAAATTAGATCTGGCTAACTCACAAGAGCTCCGAATATCTAAAGGTAGAACGACGATCAGGGGTTAAAGAACTGGAAGTTAGCTCGTAAGCACAAGAATGATTGCCTCAGGTAGGGTTTGGTGCAGGCAGTGAACTGACAAGAGGTGCCCGCTCTGTATTTAGCTGACCTACGCCCTTTAATCAGCGTCATCTGTGACTTAAAAACAGCGACAGTTATAATACTAATATTACTTAAACGAATCGCAAATAAATAGTTTACGAATGGTAGCAATATCAGTCTCGGTCCACCTGAACCTGTCTTGACACCTACTGAATGTGAGTGAGGGTAGGTAGTGCGGTAGTAGCAGCGTAAAGTCTACTGTCACTTAAGACTAAGGTAGGTGGCGTTCTGGCCTGCATCGGAGAAAGCGGCCTACCTCTGATCCTGCCCGGTCATCTTGACTCTGTCTTGTCACCAGTTTAAGCGGGTTGAGCGGGTTCAAAGTGCGGAAGACGGCTGCGCGTCAACTCGCTTAAATCTCCCTTGCTGCTTCCATCCTCCCTGCTCCTGAGCACACGGTGGACTTATTCGAAATCGGTGGTTGAACAATCGTCACCATACGGTCAACTTTAATTTTAATGAAAATGGCCCCATGGCCTAGACAACGGAGTTTACTAGACGCATGCGGTCAGGAGAGGAAGCCGAAAGAAACCCCAATATACTGACTAGAAGAGGGGCTTCAGGCCGAAGGATCGAGACAGTCGCTAATGCGTGACGTATAAAAGGGCAATGTTCCGAAAGCTACGAGGAGTAATTGAGAGTCAGGGACTGGGAAAAGGACGTCATTCACCAGAGGGAGGGGGACAGTGGACGCACAGTGATGACAGTATTTATAGTGGTTACGCAGCCTCCTGGTTTACGGGCTTTTCAAATAAAGTCATTATTTGCCCTTCGCTCCTCCCCTCTCCCATTCACCCATGAGACTTGGCCATGCTCATTTCACGCGATGAATTGGACTTATTCAGGTTTATCGATCTGTGGAAGGTAACCCAGAAAATACTTCGTTTCAAATGAGACAGTTCACATTCGTTGCGACATCACAAGGATATCCCAGGTTATCCAAAAAGACAACTGAGGTGGTATGCGCCAGTTCTTCATCTTCCACCTCACGAGCTCGGTGTCGCTGTTTTTGATACCATACCGCCACCCACTTGGAGGATTTAACTCAAAACCTGACTCCATACAGTTTTTCAATTAATGGAAGTACTTTTTGAAAATTTCGGTCTCCGATGCTGTCAAAGAGAATGAGTTGAACTGTCCAGATATGGGGGACATGGATTATGGAGGATGGAGAGGTACAGTCTGTTCATCATCGAGGCCGGCTAGATTGGGTGTGATCGTAGCCGTACTGAGTACAGGTAAGAACCAGTCTCAGCAGATAGCGACCGCCAAAACCGAGCAGGACTTTCGCCTCTCTTGGGTGTGTGTGTGTGTGTTCGGTTCTGCTGCCGGCGGCGAACGATTTCTAAAAGACATCACCCGGACGGCAAAAGTGTTCCGCCTCCTAGAAATCAGCATTTATTCGTAGCAAATACATTGCTGCTCCTGCCACTGCTGCTAGAAATGTTGTGCAATTGAAGAGCTTTAAGAGTAACCGGGCATGGAGGACTCACTGAAACGAGTATAGCGCTCGTCATCGACAATAGTGATCCCGGGACCCAGATTGCCCGGGGAGGCGGGTTCAGAGGGTGGCATGAAGGGGAGCCCCACTCCAGCCTCATTGAGAGCAGGGAAGGACGAGGAAGTGGTGGCGGCGGTGCCGGCGGAAGTGGCGGTAATCATGTCACCATCCAGGTGTTCTATCACGTCAGTCGGTCTAGTCACCGTGAGATGTCGTGTCTGCATGATCAGAGTTGGTAGAGAACTGCTGTTCGTCTGGTTCCAAGCCGCCTTCGAGGCCACAATGGTTGCAGCAGTGGTGTTGGGCACATCCTGCAGTTGGTACTCGGGATTCCCCCTGTGTGACGGCACCTTCCTCAAACCCCGCCGATTGGCCAGACGTTCCACCGTGAAGAGACGCAGGTTCAGCCAGAAGAAGATGAGAAAACACAACTGCGGCGGAGAAACAAGGAAGGATGGAGGGACGATTAAAAATGAGACAAAATGATGATATTTTAATAGAGAGAAATACCTGTTGAAAGCGGCTGTCTGGGTGGAAGTTAGACGGGCGTGTTTGGTCGTTCG